AATTTCTTCATGAGGAATTTGGAAAAGGAAATCGGGTTCGTGTCGGTCTTAGAGGTGTGGGGGCGTGATCTCAGAGCTTGAGGTCGGCCACACACGGCTTTTAACGGGAGGTTGTTAAAGTGTTAGTTCCGCTATTCGAAAAGGCCTTACCACCGGAGACGGCAGTCCGTGGAATAAGCTAAGGTGTGACATTTTTAGGACTAACCTTTTCTAACCCCTTACTTTCGTTATGAAATGGCAACGTTTCTACAGTTATTGGTTGTCTTACTGCTATCACACTCCTCTACAGTCAACAGTACGATTTCGCTCTCATAGGGTTGAGTTACTGCTTTTAGTCTTCTTGTTCTCTAATCTAACTGCTTCGCATGGTAGGACCGAAAAGAACATATGTCCAAGCTAATTATTAGCTCGCCTGAGTCATCATGATAGGCAAAGCCGATCACCAACATCAAGGTAGCAATTACAATTAGTCAGTCAGTCAGTGAGATGCAACGTAGAACTTCGTACGTAAGTACATCAGTTCATGTTGCCATACCTTATCAGCACAGACATGCAATTGTCAATTCAAATCGATTAGTATTAGAGGTCGTAAAGGTATTAGAAGTAATCGGAGAGGTTAGGATTAGAATATATTATTCAAGAAGTATGATAAGTTTATGTGAGATAAGTTTAGAAAGTCAAAACTAGAGGTGGTGAGTAATCCATAAGACTAGGATTTGAGAGAACACAGAGAAAAAACGCACCAGCGCCATTGCAAACGGTTTTCAGCCATGTCATTCAAGGTCTCTAACCATCGATTATTATCATCTCGCAGACCCCAACCAGGTAGTCGACAACTACCGGCATGACTCAGTCCACTTGTCAATGACTTCATGGATTTGTGCCATGTTTTGGTTTGGCCGCCCCTAACTTTCTTCCAACCTATTCCTACACTACAAAACAAAGCTCGACGAGGCAGTCGGTGGTTAGGCATACGCAACACATGTCCCATCCACCTCAACTGATGCCGTTTCAATACTTCATCTATTGATTTGCCATTCTTACCTAGCACCCGATTCCTAATAACAGCGTTGCTCACTCGGGTGTCCCAGGATATACGAGCAATGCTTCGAAGACACCTATGATCGAAAACCAGTAACCTACGAATATCTTCTACTTTCACTGGCCATGTTTCACAGCCATAAAGTAAGACGGAACGAACTACTACTGCACAGTACACTCATCCTTTAGTCAGCAAACGGATATCTCGCCTAAGCCATAAGTGACGCACAAGTTGGCAAAAGTCAATCGAACCAATTACAATTAGATATAAGTTACAATGATGTCAGATCACATCGAGAACGCTACAGTCAGGCAATAAAGGAAAAGACCAGATACACAAAAAAGCATTCACCTTGTTCTAAACGTGACATTGTAAAATCAATTAAATGTACAACTACACCGCATTTTGGAATATTCCATTCTTTTCCATCTAAACGAAATGTTACATAAGATTGTTGTTCATGGTGTTTATTGCTTAGCGTAGAACAATATGAACAGGCATCATTTGGTGAAGAAGAAGCAGCAGTAGTAGATTGATTGATTAAAACATTGCCCCAATGTAAATCTCTATGTTCAAATTTCAATTCTAATTCAGCAACAGCTAATGACAGACCAATTTGTAATAGAATGGATAAACGTGCACATGGACAAGTTGGCTAATGAAAAAATCAATAAAAATAATAATAATGAATGATCGGTTTTAGTGTGGTTGGTGCGAGCTACTTATAAGTAGTAGTATATGACGCGAGTGTAAACATAATGTCTGGCAGCAGAAGAGGATGGGGGAAGATCAAGAAAGGAAGAGTGGGTGGAACACAATGGAATTTGTATGAAATGCATGAATAAGAGAAATGTCAGACAATAGATTGATGATGGATTGAAGATTTGCAAATTAACCGCTTACGATGAGGTTTTCCTATTTTACTGAGTAACTCTGTAATGCTCGTTAAATACAAATCGGTTGCCTTCACCTGTGTTCTCCTTCACTACATTGGTGGCAAGGTTTAATTTGATAATTTCATTACAGGGTTGTGGAGATTAGTGAGTTTCATCGAAATCATGGATTGATTCATGTGAGATCACCATTAGAAACCTGGACGTACTGGACGGCAGTATGTATCTAGGACCACCGAACGCGAGAAGTGAACCCTGGAGCTTCGAGTCAGCAGTCATTGGTGTTTAACAATGTTGTAATCACGCGTAAGACCAAATGCTTATGTTTCAATTTGTTGTAACGCTCGCTTAAATAATTCCCAGCTAATTCCTATTGCTTAGTATTCTCTGACCACACAATACACTGGACAAGTTTCAAAGAAATCAAAAACACGGTTGAACAGAAAAGATTCTATTCCAAATAGCAAGGTTAAATGGAAATAAGAAGCCAAAGGTGATGGCGAAGGGAAAAATAGATACAACGTTAGTTTCTTTATAGCATTTACATGAGAAGCTCCTGGATTGTAATTCACGTGATCGATTGGATTAGATTTAGCCAATCAGAGTGCAGCTAACAACAGGAGAATTTTCTACCTTGTTCTCCAAGAATCGATCAGGCGCTGATTGGATTGGGAAATTAGCCAATCAGCGCGCAGCTGACGCAGTCATGCTTTAATTCCATCTATGTCCCACTAACAGTTTCATTATAGGGTTGTGGAGATTAGTGAGTTTCATCGAAATCATGGATCAATTTATATGAAATCACCATTAGAAGCTAGGAAACACTGGATGGCCCTTCGTATCCAGGACCAACGAACGCTGGAATCGAACCCAGGAGCTTCGAGTCAGTAGTCATTGGTGTTAAAGAATATTGTAATTACGCGTAAGACCAAAGGCCCAGATTTTAATTGCTACCTACAACGTTGTCATGGATGAGCACTGTTGATGAGTGCCATGCTAGGATGAAGCGGCATTTTAGTGCTCCCAGGATCTTTTTAATGGTATCTCCTAACATTGATCGATGAATGAAACTCAATCATTTTCATTTTACAATGAATTGCACTTATAATTTATATTGTATTAGGGAGTTGTGAAGACCACCATTAGAAACCTGGAATCACTGGACGGCCGTTTTGTCCTGGTATTGGACTCACCAGCAGCGCGCATCCACGACTCCTGCACCATCTCGCAGGATTCGAACCGGGGACCTTTGGTCTTACGCGTGAACGATTAACCTCTGGACCACTGAGTCAGTATCTGACGGTGTTAATGTCTAACTTCGATCGATTCACGGTCTTGCACAACCTTATACACTGACATACACCAATGTAATGGTTGTATGCAAAAGTGACTCCCTTGTGCATTATTCTGCATATAAATCCAATTCGAAATACAATAGTTTGGTTTATGCCCACATAGTTCTTCCGGAATTTAGATGACTACTAGAGTACAAACTGGACATATCTGGGTGTAGGCTAGTTTGTATATGGAATATAATTACTCCTGATTAACACACATGCAGCCAGAGTCTAGAGCAGTTAAGTCTGTCAGTTAATCAGTCAGCAACAATGTGAGACTTGGTATGCACGTACAACATTTACACAGACAGATGAAATTGTCAATTCAAATCCCATGGTAATAGAGGTTGTACCAGTATTAGTAGTAATCGATAAGATTACAGATTGAACAAAATAATTCAGTGAAACAAATTTAAAAAGAGAAACAATAGGTAATGAGTAATTCAGAAGATAAGAATTTGAGAGAAGACAGATGCACTGTCCCGATCGCAAGCGATTTTGAGACATGTCATTCAAAGTCTTTGTAGGTGTCGACTACGTACCTGGTTAGGGCCCGCGAGACGATAATAACCGATCGTGGTTAGGGACCTTGAAAGACATGGCTTTAAATCGTTTGCAATGGCGCAATTGCATCCACTCTTTGTGTTCTCTCAAATCTTAACCTTCAGAGTTTTTCATCACCTTTATCTTTCTTCTTTTTAAGCTTATTTCACTAGAATATACTACTTAATAGTATCTTTAAATCCTGATCTTTCCGATTACTGCTAATAACTTTACTACCTCTAAAACAATGGGATTTGAAATGCTAATGTGGTATGGCGAATTGAACTGATGTACTTACGTACCAAGTTCTACGTTGCTGTTGATTTGATTTGATTTGTAGTCTTAAACCATTAGTTACCATTGTCTTGCGGATTCCAACCAGATAGTCTGTATATAGTAACATGACTCAGTCCATTTTTCATAGCCGCCCCTAACTTTCTGTCAGCTTACTCCTACGTCAGACAACATCTCTCATCAAGGTAATCGGTGGTTTGGCAAACATGTCTCAATCACCATAACTGATGAAGCTTTACTACTGATTCGCACTGCTAACTTGATTGTCCAAAAATACATGAGTAACGCTTCAAAGACACTTATGATCGAATACTAGTAACCTTCAAGTATTTTTTCTTCTGAATGGCCATGTTTTTTTCACATCCATAATGTAGAACGTCGCGAACTGTCAGGCATTAAACACTTTTCTTTTTTGTTAGCAGATGGATATCTCGCCTACATGGTAAGCGAGGCAAGTAAATATGCATGTTCACACACTCGTTAATTATCTACTATCTATGATGTCTTAGAAGCATTGCTCGTGTATCATGGGACAACTGAGTAAATAATGCTGTCGTTACGAAACGAGTTCTAGGTAAGGATGGCTAATGAATAGATGAAGTAGTGAAAATTCATCAGTTGAGATGGTTGGGACATGTGTTGCGTATGCCTAACCACCGACTGCCTCAATGAGCTATGTTTTGCGGTGTAGGGGAGTAGGTTGGAAGAAAGTTAGGGGTGGTCAAACCAAAACATGGCAGAAATCCATGAAGTCACTGACAAGTGTACCGAGTCATGTTGGTAGGTGGAGGCTACCTGGTTGCGGTCCGCTAAACGATATTAACCGATGGTTAGGGACCTTGGAAGACATGTGCATATAGATCGGCTATTAAAGAGTTCTTACTTACTGCATTTTCGTGCAGTGTAGTTTACGAAATTGAAATGACGAGTATCCGGTGTCCGGTGCGCTTTAACCAAGTTAGTGGATACAATGTATCCATCCCAGAGTGTTGGAAAACCCTGATTTAACTTAGTCTACAGCTGATGACTAGTTCAGTAGGTCAACTGATGGATTCATTGGAAAGAGTAATATGGTGAAAATATATTTGGTTTCAAGCTTTACTTGTCTATAATAGGTAATGATCACAATGACAGCAACAATAATCAAGAAAGTAAAATGTTTAGAAACAAGTTGGATAACTCAAAATATTTATATGTGATAGATGAAATGAAATACTCAAGTGTGTGTTTCATCTTATTGAGGATCCGTCAGTAATCATTAAAGCACTTGAATACGTTTGTATTTTTAACGAAAGGTAAGAATCCCAGAGTGGAAATCAACGTTGAAGTGCAAGTACAATTAGTTGTGAAAAGTCACAGTAATCGAAGAAACTTGTGTCTTGGATTTTACTGGTCAGCGGTTTTTTTTTAGCAAATTAACTTTCTACAGGATGGGGTGGCTAACCCCAAGCCCCACAATCCTCCTCCTATATCCGGTCATGAGACCGGCAGTAGCTCCAGAGGGGCTCCAGTTAGAGTTTTGGGATTCAACTAGTAGCCATATCCTATCAAATTCAACATAAACTTGTGTCGCACTGGCTACACTGAGACAATTTTTACAAGATACACAAAAAATACTAATAAGGATTGATTAGAAAATTTAGAGTTTATCATTTAAACAAAAAAATCATTTTTTACAAATCAAATTTAACTTACAATATTATTTTCTAAAGTAACACCACAAAATGCTGATTCTATAGCAACCCATAATTGTGTTTTAGGAAAAATACCTTTTTTAAAAAAATTAGGAGAGACAGAGGAATAAAAGCAGGGAAAAAAAACCAATTTTAGAAATAATTAGAAACGATTAAAAATAATGAGGTGGATTTGTGAAGCCACAAATTGAAATGATCTAAGTTAGACCACTATTAGAAACATGGAAGTTTTAGGACAACTGGCTAGATTTACTATGGAATTCATCAACAATGCGTAGACACTAGCTCCACATGCGTAAATCGAACCCGTCACCTACAGTCTCGCGGAGAGTCAAACTCCGTGTTACGCCTGCACGTAAACATGTCAACTTGATATACTTGAACTATTACGAGTTTACCTAGTAGTCGAAAAACGAGAGCGAGGATCGAGGATCCAGTAACACGACGTGCTACACAAATTTGATTATCCCAACCCTCATATTGAGTAAAAATAGGAAGACAAGACTTGAATGTGAAGTAGAACCTATATTTTACAAGCATCCAGAAAGTATGAGGTCCGAATCCAGAAGAGTATCAGGATACCGGACTAGGGATCCGGGACCGGGTCCTGGTCGTAAAACGTAACAGATAATGCGTATTTATACATTTTGGTCGAATAGGAAACAGCATCGAATCCTGTGACATTGACAGTTAAGACGACCAATAAGGAGCAACATTTGAAGTGACATTGACAGTCAGGATGACCAATAAGAGACAACATCGAAGTATTTGACTTTGACAGTTAATAAATATTGACCAACAGAAATCGACCAATAGGATTTGACCAATAATTCTCTTAGGATATTGGATGAACATCCTAACAGGATTACAATCTAGATTCAACCAAACAGTCAATAATAGGCCCGAACTTTTCAACTAGATAAAACCACATCTTGATAAGACAGATGGCAGTCAAACACATGTAAAATAACGCCTTAGACACCCCGATGAATATTTGCATACATAAAATGAAACCCGAATCGATATCATTGCAAAACTATCACCTCATATAAGGTGGTATTTACTACAGTAAAGAAATAAATCTGTTCGTTTTTGATTACTATTATAATTATCGTAAATCATTTGCCAAGATTTGTGAAAGCTCAATTTTCATCGTCATTATTTTTGTATATTTAACTATACTACTTATTAATATTAAATAGTTTATGCTCTTAGCAAATAATTTGAAACTTGAAGTACGTTTTCCATTTCCATTGCTATAGCCAAGTTGCACGAAACAGTTTTTACGTGAATCCTATTTCAAAGCCGATTCTTTTGTCTTCAGTAACACAGTCAAAAGTAGGATACAGGTAATACTAACGAAAAAGACTGAAGGTCTTTAAACATCATGAAAAAAACTAAAGCCGGTTTATGTGAACAATGGTATACCAGCTCATTAATAATTCAATTTCTGAACAGATAGTCAGTTCGTAATATTAGAAAGTCCTAAAGTAGAGTAATAACTCAGTCTTTTAAGAATATTATAATCATCAAAGACCATTTACTTGATTGTATGTAGGTTTCATACTATCAAACCTGATTTTTCAGTTCGTTATTTTTGTATATGTAACTATACTACTTATAAATATTAAATAGTTTATGCAATTAATAAACATTTCGAATTCGATTTTTTTGTCCATTCTCTTAGCTCCAACAACATTCATTTTTTTAAATTTTCAGTAAAATTTTCATCGTAAGTGTAATTTATCGGAACTTTGCTCAATTCAAATGCATAAGGTTTGATTGACTTTATTTAATTTATTGGTTCAGACACGGAACCAAAGGGCCTGAGTTCGACTCCCTGTTACGCAGTCATAGAAGAGCAGTGTTGAAGGGTCTCATTTGAAGGCGAAGCAACCATCTAGTGTTAGTAGACTTTTTTTATTTCACATGTCATACAATCATTAGTTTAACATTCTGAACAGGATTATTAAGTGGTCAAATATGGTTGACAGGAGTTTCAAAAGATTCTATAGAAGGTTCTTGATTTTGACCGATTTCGTCTCGTATGCTGGTACGGGTATGAGGGCAGTTGTCACTTCCCGGCTGCCAACACCGTGGAGGATTGTTTCTTGAGGAACCTGAAAAGAAAGGTAGATTAGCGTTGGTCTTAGAAACCTGGGTGCGTGATCGCAGAGACCAAGGGACAACTGCTTCAGGCCGGTCACGCACGGCCTTTTTATTAGAAGTTTTTTGATTATTAGCTCTGCTCTTGAAAGCCCTTAGTGGGCACCCTTACCGCCGGAGACGGAAATCCGTGAGGTACGGTGAGGTGTGACATTTTTAGGGTCGACCTTTTCTAACCTCTTCGTTACTTCCTTGTGAGAAGGCAGCATCGCTGCAGATGCTGGTTGTCCGAGGGAAACACCTTACTGCTGTCACACCCCTCCATCACGGTCAGCAGTACGACTTCGCCCTCAGACCTTGTGTAGCTAGTTTTAGTCTCATCGTTCTGCAATCAACCTACATGACATGGTAGAACCTTTAGGAACAAATGTTGCAGCCAATATAGCTCGACTGAGTCAGCACGATAGTCAAGCCCGACCACCACGTCAAGGTAGCAGCTACTAAATAAACCTTCTATAGGTTTATTTAGTAAGTATTAGGAGTTGGCGTTTTAAGATTTTGAAACTATAAAATAGAGTGAATGATTTAAAAAAAGTCAAACAGTTTTAACTGATGTAATTCATTCTTTAAAGTATGCCATTGAAGATTGACCGAAATTCGGTCAAACTATGAACAACCATCAAATCCAAAATCGTTTTTCAAATTGAATTAAATAACAGTGGTAGAAACAATTTAGTCAGTGGTTAGAAAGGATTCTTACAGTCAAAGAAGTTTGTTTCACTTATATGAGTAAACTGAGAGAAGATTGTAACAGGATAGCCAGTGAGTCGAATCTCAAGGACTTCTACCACGAAGTCGTGAAAGAAAAGAAGAACAGATTCCACTCCTGTACATATTTCTTTCATACTGTGTGACACTGCCAAACACTGTTCACCTTTCTGATTTTTCCAACCAGTCCCAATGATGACAAATAGTACACAAAGTGGAATTCATGGGGATAATAGTGTTAGGATATGCATCCAATATCCTAAGAGCATTACTTGTAAGTCTAATTCAGTTGATCAATTCCTGTTTGTTAATTCCTACTGGTCGATATTATGGTCGTCCTAGCTATCAGTGTCACGTACTTCGATGTTGTTTCTTATTGGTCGCCCTGACTATCAATGTCACAGACTTCAATGTTGTTTCCTATTCAACCTAAATGTATAAATACGCATTATCTGTAACGTTTTATGACCCGGACCCTCATTCCTGGATCCTGGTTCTTTTCTGGACTCGGACCTCGTACTTTCTTGATGCTTGTAGAATACATGTTCTACTTCATATCAAGTCTTCTTCTCTTACTCAATGGGGGGTCGGGACACTCGAGTTAGAGTAACATGTCGTGTCACCGGATCCTCGCTCTCGTTGCCCGACTAAGGTAAACTCGTAATAGTTCAAGCATATCAAATGACGTGTTTACGTGCATGTGTAACAGATAGATATTCTTAGTATCTATCTGAGCAACCGAAGTCGGTGTTTCAAGATGGTGATATCAATAAGATGATTGCTGTTGAGTCAGAACAAATGTTGTTGAACCTCTGCATAACTAACCACTGAATGTTAGCAATCCTTCGGAAAACAACGGTGATCAAACACAGAAAGCTTTCCAGCAGCTTGAAGAGAACAAATTTCACAAGTATAAAGCAAAAACTGCTCTCATTAACACCATTGTCGATTAACATTATTAAAACAATAAAGATAGTGGTGGTGTTTCATTCTCTGAGCTGGATGGATATTTTGGTTGTGTAGCTTTCACATTGTTCTTTTGAACAACCATATCAGCAAAAACCTTCAGATAGTCTAGATAGGCATAAATTGCATAAGTTTTCACTACATTTAAATTGATCTCTTTACTCAATCGATTACCACAAGCTGTACTTACAGAGCTATTCAAATACATATACATTTCAACTACATCTAAGTGCTCATATTGTGGTGTGAGCTACTTATAAGTAGTATATGACGTGAGTGTAAACGTAATGTCTGGCAGCAGAAGAGGATGGGGGAAGATCAAGAAATGAAGAGTTAGAACACACAATGGAATTGGTATGAAACGCATGAATAGTGACAATGGATTGATGTTTTGCAACAGCAACAGTTTAGTTCGATATGATGAACTGATATTTTGCAAATTAACGATTTACGATATGGTTTTCCTATTTTACTGAGTAACTCTGTAATTTTTGTTAAATACAATTCGGTTGCCCCACCTGTGTTCTCCTTCACTACAATATTATACCAAAGGCAAATGAACAATGAAATCATATCAGAATATGGTTGAGCATTCGATTTTTAACGAAGATCAGTGCTGATGAACAGAATGGTCAGTCAATTGTCAATTACAACGTAGAAGAACTTCGTACGTACGTACGTACGTACGTACGTACATCAGTTCAAGTCGCCATACCACAGAGTGGGGAAATTTTATGCAAACCATAAAAAACGTTTTTTTTCTAAAGGTTGTATCGTTTCGATTTAAACAAATTATTAGCTTACTTGGATTATCATTTTCTGATTTCTTGTCTTTGTCATATTTATCCCAAGCTTTTTTCAAATATACAGGAAATGAACCTTGAATAAGATGAACTCTAAAATATATATAAGCGGTGTGAATTTGAACGCAAAAATAAAAAAAGAATTATGATAGGCAAACGAACAGAATTAAGATGATGGAGTCAGTCAGTCAGATGCAACGTAGAACTTCGTACGTAAGTAAATCAGTTCATGTTGCCATACCACATTAACACAGAGATATAATTGTCAATTCAAATCCAATAGTAGAAGAGGTAGTAAAGGTATTAGGAGTAATCGGAGAGGTTAGGATTAGGAGATATTATTCAAGAAGTATGATTCAGTGAGAAAAGTTTAGAAAGTCAAAACTAGAGTTGTTGAAGAATCCAGAAAATTAGGATTTAAGAGAGAACACAAAGAATAAATGCACCGGCGCCATTGCGAACGATTTTGAACCATGTCATTTAAGGTCTCTAACCATCGATTATTATCATCTTGCGGACCCCAACCAGGTAGTCGACAATTACCGTAAGATGATGGAGAAATAATGTAGCTCATCAATTGGATGAAGGTGGTGGTGGTGGTGTTTCGTTCTGTGAGTTGAACAAAGTGGATGTCGGCTTCCAGTTTGTTTAGGTGAGTATCAGTTAGCAGTCGAAAGTCACGACAATTCTTCACTTATATCAATACATACGGACAATGATGGACATACTACATTCGAATGGAACAATGTGGAAATACTGGGTAGGGGGAGGACAAAGAACACTAGAGGATTTTTAGAAGCTTAGCACTCACTAGTCAATCAGCTCTACACAAACACATTGACATTGATCCAATTTATCAACTAATCAGAAAAATCATAGGCGAACATAGGATCAGAGAACAGATCGAAAGAGGGATGCAATCAAAACAAAGGGGCAAACAACGACAGGTTTCAGGTCAACAGCAACCAATCAAGATAGAGGTTAACACAACGAGCTACGAGTGATATGTGGAGAAATTCGAATACTTCACTTCATCTACCTGCAGTTTGTGTTCATGCGATTGTTGAGAAGAATAATGAAAGCTCCACAACCGAAATATCCCGCTTAGAGAATGAAACACCAACCATTGGTGACTTTCGTCTCGCCGACCCCAACCAGGTAGCCTACATCTACCAACATCACTCAGTCCAATTGTCACTGACTTCATGGATTTTTGCCATGTTTTGGTTTGGCCACCCCTAACTTTCCTTTAAGCTACCTCTACACCACAAAACATAGCTCTTCGCGGCAGTCGGTGGTTAGCCATACGTAACACATGTCCCAACCACCTCAACTGATGAATCTTCACTACTTCATCTATTGATTTGCCATCCCTACCTTGAACTCGTTTCCTAACAACAGCATTGCTGATACTGTTGTCCCACGATACACGAGCAATGCTTCGGAGACACCTATGATCGAAGACTAGTAACCTACGAATATTCTCTACTCTTAACGGCCATGTTTCGCATCCTGCATAGTAGGGTGGAGCGAACTGCTGCACGGTACACCCATCCTTTGGTTAGCAAACGGATATCTCGCTTGCGCCATAAATGACGCAGGTTGGCAAAAGCCAGTCGAGCCTCCAGTATCCGTGCTGAGATTTCGTCAGTCACCAGGCCATCAGCACTGATGGGACTCCACTCAAATCAGCAGAGTAGAATATGAGAGAAGATACAGAATAAATGCACCAGTGCCATTGAAAATGATTTTGAGCCATGTCATTCAATGTTGCTAACCATTTAATCTGATACAGATATGAAGAAGATAGGCATTGGTAAAGCAAGAGCAGTATCTGTACAACCGCAGAAAATCTGAAACTTACAACAACTATTAACAAAAACATTGTATATTCTATTACTAACTATTCTGTTACGGCTGACAGTAGGAACAGTTCGCTCTTCTTTTTAAAAGAGCTCTCACACAGCCATTATCAAAAAATTTCCTATTTACTCAACCTCTTGTTACAGAAATTTGAAAGGGTTAAAAACAAATTTCTGGCGCTTGAACCGGGGTCAGTGTGCATAAAAGATCTATCTAGAAGAGTTGAATAACTAACAGAGTACAAATAGCCTATGAATCTATTGTTAGTCACTAGCTAACATGAAACTACATCTCCAGTCGTTGGCACTGTTGCCTTGTGGATGATAACCTTCAGGATCAAAGATACATATAGTAGACCCCTGAGCAAACCATCCGCTTCACTTCGGGCATAAGAGAAATATTTCAAGCAGCTCACTGTAAGGATATTCATCCAATATCCTAAGAGAATAATGATTGGTCAATTCCGATTGGTTAATTTCTACTGGTCAATTTTATGATCGTCCTAGTAGATATCAATGTCACGTGCTCCGATGTTGTTTCTTATTGGTCGTCTTAACTGTCAATGTCACAGAGTTCGATGCTGTTTCCTATTCAACGCATTATCTGTAACGTTCTACGACAAGGACCCGGTCCCAGATCCCTAGTCTGGGATCCTGTTTCTCTTCTGGATGCTTGTAGAATACAGGTCCTACTTCATATCATGTCTAGTCTTCCTATTTTTACTTAATATGGGGGTTGGGATAATCGGATTTGAGTAGCATATCGTGTCACCGGATCCTTGATCCTCGCTCTCGTTTTCCGACTAAGGTAGTAAACTCCGTAATAGTTCGAAGTATATCAAAAGTTGACGTGTTTACGTGCAGGCGTAACACTCGCTCAAAAAAAATTACATTGATTTGTATCGTGAATACACAACATACTTAAGGTCTACAGACAAGTTGATCATTTAATTGAATATGCAAGTTTAAACAAACAACCCTTCACAAAACAAACTCATTTCCCGCGAAAAAAAAATTACACGACGGACAAAAAATAAAAAAGTTTAAATGCAAACTTACTTTTTTAATTCTACAAATCCACATGTACTATTTTTAAGACCCATACTAAGAGCAGTTAGTTCTCTGAAGAAAAGAAAAAACAAATATTCGGGAGAAAAAACATTATTTCTTTAAGGACTTAATTAATCAATATTAAATAGTTAAAGAGAATTGTTATGTTCGTCACTAGGTACTACACTTGAAGCTATTACGATGAGTTTACCTTAGTCGATAGACGCGAACAAGACAATGAATCAGCGTCCAGATAGGCTACCTTGAATCTCAAGCTGTAAAACAGAAGTCTTGATAGGCGTAGAAAGTATATTCTACAAACACCCAGCAATCACAATACAATCAAGCACACACAACTCTCGTTTATTTATACAACATAGAAATGTCCTTTGGATAGTTAACGAAAATAGCACACTAAAATACACAGTAGCCAATCACAGCCATGGATTTTCCCGAGTGGGAAATGAAATCTCAAGGTCAACTGATCAGCCCATGCTGGTAAACGTGGAAACCAAAATAAGGCATTTATGAAGCGAATTTCGGGGATCTAACATCCTCAACAAGAAACAAAGGGTTTTTCCAAAAATCCAATGAAGATTTCCGCCGCTTTAGGGATGTGGAGATTGTTCGATTTCAGTGAAATCATGAATGGATCAATTGATCAGACCACTATAAGAAACCTGGAAGCACTGAAAAACAGCCGTTTCATCCTAGTAGGCGATTTGTAATCAGTGCGCATCCCCGACTATATAAGCAAGAATCGAACCCGCGACCCTCGGTCTCACAGTACCGCGGATTGATTAAAGTCAGATATGAACATCGTTGGATGATGGTTCAGTGGGTCTAAAGGTTAAGCATTCGTGTGCAAGATCGAAGGTTTTGGGTTCGATTTCCACGTACGCATGTCATGGATGCGCATTGCTGACTATAAATACGTAGTGATGCTTTATCACACTGGAGTGACTGTTTCACTCGACTTCTCTAGTTCGCTTCCGTTAGATTTTACGCTTGCCTGAATAAACGATTGTATAAGATAAACTCATCCAACTAAATCCTTGACTTTGACTTCTTATTACTGCCGTCACAAATGGAGTTTGCCTAAGCATCATAGACGGAAGTTGAAATTGGAGTCATATTCACATAGGCTACTAAAAATTATCAGCAACAACTTTAAGTGCCCCCCTATTCCTGCCTACTAATTTTTAATGAATAACTTTTGTACATTAGTTAGGATATTAACCAAATATCCTAAGAACACTATTTTTAGAAGTACAATACTATTGGTCGATTTCTATTGGCCGAAATTATGATCATTTTAACCGTCAAGGTCAAATATTTCAATGTTGCCTCTTATTGGTCATCTGGACTGTCAATGTCATTCAAATGTTCTTTTCTATTGGTCGTCCTAAACTGTCAATGCCACAGACGTTGATGCTCTTTCTTATTCGACCCTAATGTATAAATACGCACTATCTGAAAGACTCAGTAATTCCGTTTCTCCTGCATACCTCCTCGCTTCTGTATTCGACCCAATAAACAACTCCATCCATACTACGGTGTTGCGTTCTGATTTCTAGGAGATTTGGAAATAGCATTTTGGGATATTTGAATTGGACGCCGCTAAGAGACTGAAGAGCTATACGTAGCAGCGTTACAACAACATTGAAGCATAATTTCCGTTGGAAATTCGATTTCAAGGTTTAACTAGTATCATTGATATTTTTCACCTGAATTATATCAAGTTATATCTACTTGTGTACATATTTTGTATTGGTTAGTTGAGGACTACTACTACTACTGCAAGTATTTAAAGTTATTGGGATGATCATTGAGGATTAGTAATTATTTTATTTAAAAACAATATAAACATCGGTACAAAATCGGGCACCTAAATAATGATGCGCCAAACCAGGGATTGAGTTTTGTGGCGACCAAAAAGAAACACGGAGATTCTTTTTAGATGGGGGTTATTCACTGGACTGATTACCAAGAGGTTTCATTCACACGAAAATGGAGCAACATCACAGGAGATGCTGTCCCATGGGATTCATACACCATTCGTTTAGAATAAGGGCTTATCAACACTACTGGGTAGATCCCCTATACTCAATAACCCAGTTAAAGAGCTGGACACTCGCTCGCTTTTCGTCTTATCGAATTTGTAAACAGCATCCTAGGTCACGAGAAGGTAGTAAGCAGTAGGACTGTTGTAACAGTGGCTATATACACAAACGCTTTTCATTCTAGAACGTCAGTCAGTTGCAACGTAGAACGTATGTACATAAGTTCATGTTGCCATACCACATTAGCAAAGAGACGCAGATGTCAAATCAAATCCCATAGTGATAAAGATAGTAGAGGTATTAATGGTAAAGAAGAAGACTAGGGTTTGAAGATATTATTCAAGAAGTATAATTCAGTCAGATAAGGTTAGAAAGACAAAGGTAGAGGTGCTGAAGAATCCAGAAGTTTAGGATTTGACAGAACACAAAAAGTGGATGCACCTGCGCCATCGCAGACGATTATGAGCCATGTCATTCAAGCTATCTAACCATTGGTGACTTTCGTCTCGCGGACCCCAACCAGGTAATCTACACCAACATGACTCAGTCCACTTGTCAGTGACTTCATGGATTTCTGCCATGTTTTGGTTTGGCCGCCCCTAGCTTCCTTCACGATAGGCAAGCCCGACTACCACGTCAAGGTAGCAGCTTCGGTCGGGTTTCTAGAACGTACCAGAGTGTTTGGCAGTGTTCAATATTTATGGCCAGCAATCAATTTTTTCAACACATAAACAATAGTATTTATATAAATCATCATAGAAATTGAATGCTAGCTGCTAGAATATGGTTCCCTCTAATACTTCTACTACCTCTTTTCCACTATAAAAGATTAGAATTGACAGATCTATCTGTCTGTACTAATGTAGTTTTATGGCAACTTGATACGATGTATGTACGTACCAAGTTCTAAGATGGTGCTGACTAACTGACTGAAATTACTGTTCTATCCTCTTGTAGGATTCACCGAAATCATGAATCGATCAATGTTAGACCACCGTTAGAAACCTGAAAGCACTGGATGGCCGTTTCGTCCTGGTATCGGACCCATCAGCAGTGCGCATTTACGACTCCTGCACCACCTCGCAGGATCCGAACCTAGGACCTTTGGCCTTGAGCGCGAACACCTAACCTCTGGATCACTGAACCGGTATCTAACAGAGTTAATGTCTAACTTCAGTCAATCCACAGTCTTGCGCAAGGTCATACACTGCCTTCGGCTGTTACTGTGGTGGTGGTGTTTGGTACTCTGAGCTGGGTGTTTTAGATGTGGAGCTTTCATTGTTCTTTTGAACAACATCATCAGCACAAACTTCAGATAGAAGTGAAGCATTTGAATTTCTCCACGTTTGATCTGTAGCTTGTTCTGCTAACCTCGATCTTGATTGGTTGCGCTGCTGACCTGAAACCTGTCGTTGTTTGCACCTTTGTGTTTGATCGTATCCCCCTTTTGATCTGTTTCTTGATCCTATATCACCTATGGTTTTTCTAATTGGTTGATAAATTGGGTCAATGTCGATGTGTTTGTTGATTGATGATTGACCTGAGTGCCAGTCAAGCTTCTAAAAATTCACCAGTGTTCTTTGTCCTCCCCCTATCCAGTATTTCCACATTGTTCCAATCAAACGTGTCCATAATTGTCGGTGTGTATTGATATAAGCGAAGCGTTGTCGTGGCGTTTGACTGCTAATTGATGTTCACGTAAACGAAGCTGAAGAGGCTGTCCACTTTGTCCTATGTAGTGTTTTTCACAGTTTGAGCAATTTATTGTGTAGATGATATTTGGTTTTTCTTCAGTTGTCATTTTGTCCTTTGGTCTACACATAGGATTGATTGAAGTGATTCTGTTGGTTTGTGTACCACACCTATTCCAAATGGTTTCAGTAGTCGTGCTGTATGCTCCAATATGTCTTTTATGTATAGTAGGATGATCCCTCTATTGGTTCCTGTGGTTGATTTCGCTTCTGATGATGATTTCGGTTGATGTTTTTTGATGAAGTTGCGTGGATAGCCGTTCTTTTGAAAGATGTTTTCGTTTAGTGCTTCGTATGTGCTGCAGTGTATCTTCGCTCTCTTGAACAAAGTTTGTATGCCGTTGATTTTGTGGGTTCTTGGGTTGTTACTGAGAATCAGAGAACCAAACACCACCAACACCACCACAATCATCCACCTGAGCTACAAATCTTTTCCACCATCTCAGCAGTTACTGTCTACACACCTGAACAAGTTGAACTTCACTGATCAAGAGACTTCTCACTACAACTGAGAAAAAGATTTACATTGACGATTGTAGGATTATGAATTTACATCGTAAATGAAGATAAAATAACCGTTTCGTACTATTTTTGATTTTTCTGATTCTGAAAAGAAAACTTACTAGACTTACTTAGAAACAATCACTTCAGATAGAACTTCATTGAATAATTTTTGTGGCTCCCCATTAAATTTCACATCACCTTCTATGGGGATTAATTTAATAGCCACATATTCATTATTAGTGGAATGCGATTCTGCAGGACAACGAAACACTTCACCAAAACATCCTTCACCAATTTTTGATAGATTTTTTCTACGACTAGAAATAAAAATAAAATAAAATCGATATCGAAAAAACAAAAGTAATTGGTCGTTTGAATGATCACTTGATTTACGTGTGGTTGATAATATCATCCAGAAGATACAAGTGTATATTAACAGTTGTCTACGCAAAATACTTCGGATTCGTTGGCCAAACACCATCAAACAAAACAAACCAGATTCCAGTGGAGGAGGAAATCAGGAATAGGCGGTGGATGTGGATAGGACACACACTACGAAAAGCACCTAACTGCGTCACAAGACAAGCGCTCACTTGGAACCCTCAAGGCAAAACGAATAGAGGAAGGCCAAGGAACACATTACGCCGAGAAATAGAGAAAGATATGAGAAGAATGAACAAACATTCGACAGAACTGGAGAGGGAAGCCCAGGAAAGAGTTGGTTGGAGAAAACTGTTCGACGGCCTATGCTTCATTGGGGGTAACAGGCGTAAGTAAGTAAGTGGTTGATAATTGCCATTGAGGAGTTATACGCTGATGATCGCGATACGCATGCATACTCATCACTCTGTCCTAGGCTTCTGCGATTCTAGTTGTTTTCAAGTGAAAATATATTCATTCTTTTTGATGTGTGTGCCTTCCCCGACCGAAGCTGCTACCTTGACGTGGTGGTCGGGCTTGCCTATCGTGATGACCCAACCGAGCTATACTGGCTGGAACATATGTTCCTGTAGGTCCTACCATGCCAGGCTGGTCGATTGGAGAACGATGAGACTAAAAGCAGCTACCCAAGGTCTGAGGGCGAAGTCGTACTGCTGACTGCAGAGGGGTGTGACAGCAGTAAGGTGTTTCTCTCGGACAACGTTAGGGGCGGCCAAACCAAAACATGGCACTGATGGATGCTCGAAAACGCATCCCACCTGACTCTGAACATGATGAAGAGCGTAGTCAGCTTAGGCGCAGACTTATAAAAAGTCTGCGTAACGACCGCGAACAGTGATGGGTGGCGAAAGCAAAAGCGATGGAAAAGGCAGCGGCGATAGGCAACACTAGACAACTTTTCCGCCTTATCAAAGAAACCGGTATTAAGAACCCGAATGTGAGTGAGACTATCTCGGAAAAGGATGGTCTTATTATCCATTCTCAATCCAGGAGACTGGATCGATGGGCAGAACACTTTAGGGATCAGTTCAACTGGCCACGAGCCACTCTTCAGTTACCCACGATCTCCAGTCATCCTGAATGGCAAATCGACGTAAGTCCCCCTAGTCTTAATGACGTTGAGAAAGCGTTAGGAAATCTGAAACGAGGACGAGCTGCAGGTCCTGATAGACTGACCCCTGAGATATTCAGGGATGGTGGTCCAGTTTTAGCAGCTAGATTGACTGAGATCTTAGGTAAAATCTGGGAACTGGACGTAATCCCATCCGACTGGTCTCAATCCTTGATTGTCCCAATCTATAAGAAAGGACAAAAGTCTTCTTGTGACAATCACAGAGGAATAAGTCTAACTAATATAGTATCTAAAATATTGGCCTCAATAATACTTCGACGCTTAACGAAAGCTCGTGAAGAGCAGACTCGAGAAAACCAGGCTGGTTTTCGACCTGGACGTGGCTGTATAGACCACGTCTTCACACTCAGACAGGTCCTGGAACATAGACACACATTTAGGCGTCCTACAATAGTTGTTTTCCTGGATCTTAAGGCGGCATTTGACTCTGTTGATCGTAAGGTTCTGTGGCAGTGTCTGTCATTGAAAGGTGTACCACAGAAGTACATTAACCTTATACAAGCTCTTTACTCGAACACCACTGGTCGGGTGAGGGCTTATGGCGAACTGTCACCGGAATTCTCTACATCAAGTGGTGTCCGTCAGGGATGTCCACTTTCTCCATTCTTGTTTAATTTTATCATAGACATGCTCCTAGAGTTAACATTATCCTCGTCTGAATTTTCTGGAGTAGACCTTCTTCCAGGTGGCTCGCTTATTGATTTAGAATATGCCGATGACATTGTCCTACTTGGTGAAGACGCTGACAAAATGCAGAGTCTTCTGACTACCCTAAGCAACAATGCAAGCATGTTCGGGATGCGGTTTTCCCCGTCGAAATGCAAAATGTTGCTTCAAGACTGGGTTGCATTGGCACCTGAACTAGTGATAGGGAGTGAAGTAGTCGAACGTGTAGACCGCTTCACTTATCTTGGGAGTCTCATCAGTGCCGATGGCCTGGTGACTGACGAAATCTCAGCTCGGATACAGAAGGCTCGATTGGCTTTTGCCAACCTGCGTCACTTATGGCGTAGGCGAGATATCCGTTTGCTGACTAAAGGACGAGTGTACTGCGCAGTAGTTCGCTCCGTCTTACTTTATGGCTGTGAAACATGGCCAGTGAGAGTAGAAGATATTCGTAGGTTACTGGTTTTCGATCATAGGTGTCTTCGAAGTATTGCTCGTATATCGTGGGACACCCGAGTGAGCAACGCTGTTATTAGGAATCGGGTGCTAGGTAAGAATGGCAGATCAATCGATGAAGTATTGAAACTTCACCAGTTGAGGTGGTTGGGACATGTGTTGCGTATGCCGAACCACCGGCTGCCTCGTCGAGCCTTGTTTTGTAGTGTGGGAATAGGTTGGAAGAAAGTTAGGGGCGGCCAAACCAAAACATGGCAGAAATCCATGAAGTCATTGACAAGTGGACTTAGCCATGTCGGTAATTGTCGACTACCTGGTTGGGGTCCGCGAGATGATAATAATCGATGGTTAGAGACCTTGAATGACATGGCTCAAAATCGTTCGCAATGGCGCCAGTGCATTTATTCTCTGTGTTCTCTCAAATCCTAATCTTCTGGATTAGCCAGCACCTCTACCTTTATCTTTCTAACCTTATTTCACTGAATTATATTTTTTGAATAATATCTTAAACCCTAGTCTTCTTTATTATAACATTAATACCTCTACCATCTTTATCACCGTGGGATTTGATTTGACATTTGCGTCTCTGTGCTAATAATGTGGTATGGCAACATGAACTTATGTACATACGTACGAAGTTCTACGTTGCAACTGACTGACTGACTGATGTGTGTGCCTTCGATACCCAGTAAATAGGTTTCGTGGTTTTTCGCTTTTCCCTTCTGTTGACAGACAGACAGACAGATACAACGCAGAACTTCGTACGTTTAAGTATATCAGTTCACGTTGCCATCCACCATCAGCACAGAGACGCAACTGTCAGTTCAAATCCAACAGCGATAGCAATAATAGAAGTATTAGCAGTAATGGAGAAGATTAGGGAGCGAAGATATAATTCGAGAAGTATAATTCAATGAGATAACTTTAAAAAGAGAAAGATAGAGATGATGAGGAATTCAGAAGGTTAGAATTAGAGAGAACACAAACAGTGGATGCACTTGCGCCATTGCAAACGATTCTGAGCCATGTTGTTCAAGGTCTCTAACCATCGGTGACTATCATCTCGCTGACCCCAACCAGGTAGCCTACATCTACCAACATCACTCAGTCCACTTGTCAGTGACTTCATGGATTCGTGTCTTGTTTTGGTTTGGCCGCTCCTAGCTCTTCCCTTCTGTTGTGGACGTTAGATCCCCAGAACTCAGTTGGAAAGTCTTAATTTTATTGCTGAAACTTTGAATATGTTTGTTTTCGCGCATAAGGCGCTCAGTTGACCTTCAGCTTATATTTCCCACTCGGAAAATCCTTGACTGTCATTGGTTGATGAATTATTTTAGTACGCTATTTTGTGGCTCTCCCAAGGGCGTTTTTATCATGTATAAATAAGCTCGATTTGTGTGCTTGTCAACCTCGTATTTTCTGGGTGCTTGCTTTAAGGATCTGAGTTTTTCTTTTACGTATGTTGAGACCTACTATTACAAACACGGCGGGTCGTCTTCTCTTGTATTTGTCTTTGTGTTTGGCATAGTAGAGTTAGGTCTCATTTACTTACGATGTTTGAATCGCCTAGCTGCATTCGAGCTATCCCATGCACCTTCTGAGAAGTTTAGATTCCCATTAGCCAGTCAACCATCAGAAGAAAGATAAAGGGTGAACGGAAGCTTCTATGTCTGATACCAGTCTTCACTTGGAATGAATGTGTGAGCTATTCTCCAAGCATGAGGTTGCATTGTAGTCAGTCGTAAGAATTCCGTAAGATGCTGACTATCTCTTCACAAGTACCCTACAGTGTCGAATAAGAATTTGCAATTTTATCCAGTCCACTCTTCTCCGTGGTGAGAGAAGTTGATGTAGAGTTATAAGTTATATTCAATTGATTTTTCGGCAATGATCCGTAGTGTCGTGTTTTGGTCGGTACACAATAGACCCTAACGAAATCTAGCCTGTTGACCTCAAAGTTAGGCGTCTACTGAATCTTTTCATTCGGTTCAACAACACTATGTTGAAGACTATTCCTGGTATCGATATTAAAGTGATGCCTCGTTAATCCGCTTCCCCTCTCCAAATGCTTTCGTATGGTCATGCGTATACAACCACTGTCAGTAAAATTCTACACAATGTTTTCTCGTAGCGAGGATGTTGTTTACTAAATTAAGAAAACGAAAATCGAATGTCCGGTGGAGGTATAAACCATGTTAATGGGTGAACAGGGTTAATCTAAGGTTAGGGTTAGGGTTTTTTGGTTCATATACCAGAATCGATTAGGTGAGTACTCATTAGTCCGAATTTTTCCCATGATCATTACTGTCAGTCAGTCAGTCAATCAGTTACTGTTGGGATATTCATCTAATATCCTAAGAGAATTATTGGTCAATTCCTATTGGTTAATTCCTACTGGTCAATTTTATGGTCGTCCTAGTAGATATCAATGTCACGTGTTCCAATGTTGTTTCTTATTGGTTGTCCTGACTATCAATGTCACGTCAAATGTTGCTTCCTATTGGTCGTCTTAACTGTCAATGTCACAGACTTTGATGCTGTTTCCTATTCGACCAAAATGTATAAATATGCATTATGTGTAACGTTTAACGACCACAACCAGAACCTGGTCCCGGATCCCTAGTCCGAGATCCTGATTCTCTTCTGGATTCGGACCTCGTACTTCTGGATGCTCGTATAATACAGGTTATACTTCATATCAAGTCTTCTTATTTTTACTAAATATGGGGGTTGGGATAATCGGATTTGAGTAGCATGTCGTGTCACCGGATCCTCCCTCTCGTTTTCTGACTAGGTAAACTCGTAATAGTTCAAGTATATCAAAAGTTGACGTGTTTACATGCAGGCGTAACAGTTACAACGTAGAACTTCGTACGTAAGTACATCAGTTCATGTTGCCATACCACATTAGCACAGAGATGCAATTGTCAATTCAAATCCCATAGTGGTAGAGATAGTAGAAGAATTACTGTTAATGGAGAAGATTAGGATTTGAAGATTAATATTCAAGAAGTATATAATTCAGTGAGATAAGTTTAGGAAAAAGACAAAGGTAAAGGTGTTGACAAATCCAGAAGATTATGATTTGAGAGAACAGAAAAAAAAGAGGATGCACCTGAGCCATTGCAAACGATTTTGAGCCATATCATTCAAGGTCTCTAACTATTGGTGACTTTCGTCTCGCGGACTCAAGCCGACTTCTCATTATTGTTAATAGTAAATGAATAATTTGTGTGCTGTATGGTCCGGGTTGGTATGTACACATAAACAGATGTCTACAATATATTAACAATCTTAGACTGATGATTATTAGCTTCGTATTCTTTCTCTGAGTTCGGAGTAATTAATATAGAGCCGATCTTTAAGCATACAGTAGCAGTGAGAAGACTGAGGCAGGCGAGGAAGATTGTATTATGCAAATTTACACTCTTAGGCAATTAAAAACGAACACATTACATTGAATACTACTCTATTTGCACACCGTCTTTGAGTCGTGACTTCCAACACTCCATCCTTCATCTTCCATTCCTGCTGTTGTTGGTTCCTTTCCTTCCTGTTGGTACTACTCCATTTACTTCTTGCTTTTGCTCCATTTGCTTTCCGTTTTCCTCTTGTGACCGTGAGACCTCTTCTTTCACGTCCCTTCTTATACTACTTATATCGTTCGTATAAGTAGCACACACTACAGCAGTTCTATCATCCTTGTTGGATATTGATTAACTAAAATGTCATTTCGACGTATTGGTTATAGTCAAGACATAACAACCGGTTTTCTATGACAGTGTATTTTACTCGCGTTGTTCTATACTGCTTTGTAGATTAGATTTGTACGTAGAAGGTTAGGGGAATGGCTCTCTCAGAAAACCACATACTTAGATTTGGGTAGCTGGACAATATACCATTGTGTTCTAACTCTTCGTTTCTTGATCTTCCCCCATCTTCTGCTGCCAGACATTACGTTGACGCTCACGTCATATACTACTTATAAGTAGCTCACACCACACTCGTCCCCCCTTTTAATAAGCTGTTAATGAAGTCATTCAAAACAGGGACCCTGGTCAGTTAATATCACCTTCCGTATTCCGTGACACGCTACAATATGCCGGATTACCACTTCGGTGACTGTTCTCGCCCGCTGATCTGAAATGGATACGGCATCTATCCAACGTGTAGCGTTTACTAGTCCCCGTTGCTGGGACACGGCGGCAGGCACACTCTCGATAAATTGCGACGCCAACAACTGTGCCCCGACTCCCCATCCATACTCGGCAGCGTACGGCGCAGCAACATCGTGGGCTCCACAGCCAGCACAAACGGGTCACCATCATCCGACAGCCTCGCCAACCTGGACCCCTGTGGCGCCTCCTCCCTGTCCACAGGGCTGTAGAACTCCGTCATCAGTCACCCGGTGACCGTCTGCCACGCAGTCTCCCCGGCGGCACCGTGCAGGCTGTCATATACCGCCTTCGCCTCACCTCCCCGCAGCGTCCCCAGCACCTCCAACCCCGCCCCGGGCCCCTTCAGACCCACCAGCACCACTGCGGCCCCAGACTCCTCCAGGAAGTTCCGCAAATCTCCGTTCTCCAACTCTTTCGGCCACGGGGGCTCCTTCCTTCAAGCAGGCAGCGACACCAGCAATATCCCAAGCCCATTTATAAACAAACAAACACTTTTTGTAATAAACAGATATAAAATTGTTCAGATGAGATGAGATGATGTGAAAATTAACAAGAAACTTACGCTGGATTAAATAATTGTGCAAATGTTTTATAATCAGTTTGTTCACAAATTTTAAATAATGTTCCTTTTATATCACCAGCTTCATATAATGTCTAAATCAATAAAAAGTAAAAATAGAAAAAAACCGAAACGAGAATCGATCGATAATAAAAGCATTACTTACACTAGACAAGCATTATTATTATTAGTAGTAGTAGTGTGGTGCGAGCTACTTATAAGTAGTATATGACGTGAATGTCAACGTAATGTCTGGCAGCAGAAGATGGGGGAAGATCAAGAAAGGAAGAGTGGGGGGAACACAATGGAATTTGTATGAAACGCATGAATAGTGACAACGGATTGATGTTTTGCAACAGGAACAGTCCAGTTCGATATGATGAACTGATATTTTGCAAATTAACGATTTACGATATGGTTTTCCTATTTTACTGAGTAACTCTGTAATTTTCGTTAAATACAACTCGCTTGCCCCACCTGTGTTCTCCTTCACTACAGTAGTAGTAGCAGTAGTAACTCCGCCTGTGACCCCTTTCCGATTACTGTCGGTCACGACCCCGGAAAAAGGAGGAGAGGTTCAGCGTAAGGTTCGTGAACTAATCCCAAAGAAAATCAGTCAGTCAGTTACAACGTAGAACTACGTACGTACGTACAAAAGTTCAACTTGCCATACTACATTAACCCAGATAGGCAAGTGTCACTTCAAATCCCATAATTGTAAAGATAGTAGAAGTATTAGTGGTTATGAAGATTAGCATTCAAAGAAATTATTCACGAAGTATAAAAGTTGAGAAAGAGAACAATACAAGTGATGAGGAGTTCAGAAGATTAGAATTTGAGAGAGAACACAAAGAATAAATGCACCAGCGCCACTGCAAACGATTTTCAGACATGTCGTTCAAGATCTCTAACCATTGATTACTATCATCTCGCGGACCCGAGCCAGCTAGCCTACATCTACCAAACATCACTCAGTCCACTTGTCAGTGACTTCATTGATTTCTGCCATGTTTTGGTCTGGCCGCCCCTAGCTTTCTTCCAACCTACTCCTACACCACAAAACATAACTCATCGAGGCAGTCGGTGGTTAGGCATTCGTAACACATGTCCCAACCACCTCAGTTGATGAAGTTTTAATACTTCCTCTATTGATTTGCCATCCTTACCTAGTACTCTGTTCCTAACTATAGCATTGCTTACTCGGTTGTCTCACGATACACCAGCAATGCTCTGAAGACCTCTATCTTCGAATACTAATAACCTACGAATATCCTCACTTCTTACCGTCCATCCATCTAGTAGGACGGAGCGAAATGCTGCGCAGTAGACTCGTCCTTTGATTAGCAGACGGATATCTTTCCTACGCCATAAATGACGCAAGTTGGCAAAAGCCAACTGACCCTTCCGTATCCATGCTGAGCTTTCGTTAGTCACCAGACAATCAGAACTGATGAGACTCCCCAGATAAGTGCAGCAGTCAACACGATGAATTGCTTCACTCCCTATCACTAGTTCAGGTGCCGACGCAAGCTAATCCTGAAGCTCGGTCTGATTATCGCTATAGGCAATCCCGACCACCACGTCAAAGTAGCAACTACGGTCAGTAAAATCAACTCGCTAATGAAATGTTGAAAGTAGTCCTATTAGTAGCACTGGTCGGCCGTTTTATCCAAGTCTGAGACTTAACATCAGTGTGTATCTACGAATACCGCTCACGGTAATCGAACCCTGGACCTTCAATCTTGGGCACAAAAGCTTAACCTCTAGATCATCGATACGACATCCAATGGTGTTAATGCTTAATTTTAATCAATCCCTGACAGTAAAACCTTAAGCTACCAACACCTCTAGTTCTGATTATCCATTTGTCCTACAATCTCATGCTCATGTTGTTTCTGATTATTGTCGATTGCATTTTGTTATTAAAAGTTAAGTACATTCTATGTGCTTACTGAGTTGTTGGCTCACATTTTTTCGCATGTTCTTTCCTCTTTCTCACATAATCTCATATACTGCTTCTCACACTACTGTCAACATATAAAGTACCTTCAGTCTAAACATAAAATGACCAAGAGATGAAGTTACAGTATATATTTTATGCAGGATTATGTTGAAACAACCTGATTGGTGGATTATTAACCAATCAGCACTAATGGATAGAGCTAAAGGAAAACTCAAGGATATTCATATGTATTAACTCATAAATAGACTAACATTATTATTATTACACATTCAACTCCACCATAATCGTCCACATGACGTGGTGGTCGGGCTTGCCTATCGTGATGACCCAACCGAGCTATACTGGCTGGAACATATGTTCCTCAAGGTTCTACCATGCCAGACAGGTCGATTGGAGAACGATGAGACTAAAAGCAGCTAATCAAGGTTTGAGGGCGAAGTCGTACTGCTGACTGAGATGGAGGGGTGTGACAGCAGTAAGGTGTTTCCCTCGGACAACCAGCATCTGCAGCAATGCTGCCTTCTCACAAGGAAGGAAGGGTTAGAAACTGTCGACCCTAAAAATGTCACTTCTCACCCTACCTCACGGATTTCCGTCTCCAGCGGTAAGGGTGTCCACTAAGGGCCTTTAAGAGCGGAGCTAATCCTCAAAAAACGTTTTATAAAAAGGCCGTGCGTGACCGGCCTCAAACAGTTGTCTCTTGGACTCTGCGGTCACGCATCCAGGTCTCCAAGACCAACACTAATCAATCTTCCTTTTCAGGTCCCTCAAGAAACACCCTTCCATGGTGTAGGCATCCAGGAAGTGACAACCGCCCTCATACCCATAAACAGTACGAGAGACCGAATTGGTCAAAATCAAATCCTTCCTACACCCACACATACCCGTAACAGCAACTCCACCATAATCATCCACATAAGCTACGAATTTTTTCCGCCAACTTGTTAGATGGTTGGGATCCGCGAGACGATAGTAATCGATGGTTAGACACTTTGAATGACATGGTTCAAAATCGTTTGCAATGGCGTAGATGCATCCATTCGTTATCATCTCTCAAATTACAAATCTTCTGAATTCCTCGTGACCTCTTTTCTCCAATTAAATTTCTTTCCCTGGTTTATACTTCTTGAATCATATCTTCGAACATGATATGCTTGAAACTATTACTCGGTAAACGGGTCGAAGAGCAACGATGCAGTGATACGATAGGCTATTCTGATTCGATTGTCCTCAGCCCTGTTAACTATAGTAAGAGGTCTTAATAAGGCGTAAAAAGTGTATCCTACCAGCACTCAGAAAATATGAGGTTGACAAGCACACAAATCGAGTTTATCTATGCATCATAGAAACGCCCTTCGGAGAGCAACAAAGACAGCGTACTGAAATAATCTATTAACCAATGACAATCAAGGATTTTCTTAGTGGGAGATGTGATCTCAAGGTCAACTGAGCAGTCCATGCGCGAAAACACGAAAATCTAAAAATAGGACATTTATCAAGTGAGTTCTGGGGACCTAACGTCCCCGACAGAAACCTTAATCTTTTCTATCACCTCTGATACTTCCACTACGTCTACAACTATGGGTTTTGAATAGACAAATCGATCTGTCTTTGCTAATGTGGTATGACAAGTTGAACTGATGTACGTAGGTACGATGTTCTATGTTGTTCGCTCCGTCTTACTTTATGGCTGTGAAACATGGCTAGTTAGAGTAGAAGATATTCGTAGGTTACTGGTTTTCGATCATAGGTGTCTTCGAAGCATTGCTCGTATATCGTGGGAAACCCGAGTGAGCAATGCTGTTATTTGGAATCGGGTGCTAAGTAAGAATGGCAGATCAATAGACGGAGTAGTGACACTTCATCAGTTGAGGTGGTTGGGACATGTGTTGCATATGCCCAAACACCGAATGCCTCGTCGAGCTTTGTTTTGTAGTGTAGGAATAGGTTGGAAGAAAGTTAGGGGCGGCCAAACCAAAACATGGCAGAAATCCATGAAATCATTGATAAGTGGACTTAGCCATGTCGGTAATTGTCGACTACCTGGTTGGGGTCGGCGAGATGATAATAATCGATGGTTAGATACCCTGAATGATGTGGCTCAAAATCGTTTACAATGGCGCAGGTGCATTCATTCTTTATGTTCTCTCAAATCCTAATCTTCTAGATTCTTCAACACCTCTAGTTTTGACTTTGTACACTTTTCTCATTAAATCATACTTCTTGAATAATATCTTCTAATCCTAACCTCTCCGATTACTTATAATACCTTTACTACCTCTACTACTATGGGATTTGAATTGACAATTACATCTCTGTGTGCTGTAAGGTATGGCAACATGAACTGATGTACTTACGTACGTACGAAGTTCTACTGACTGACTGACTGACTGACTTGTTAGAATACACTTCATATATCTTCTTCATGACATGTTCTTAATTTTGACAATAAATTATTCAACTATTTTGTACAATAGTTCAATCAATATTAAGCCAATCAAAGTAGATAAGTTATTTTACAGAAAAATACAAAACAAACATTATTCACACTCGAATAATTTGCCCTACCATACCATATATGAACGATTTAATATCATATTTTCATAACGATAATATCTTGTTAAACGTTTTGTAAATTGACCAGATTTTTTACCAGCTTCTAATAGTTTTTGACATATTGAAAATGATGATTGAATTGAATTTTGATCAAATTTGATTGGTTGATTTTTAAATGAATTAGACAGATGACAATGATTGGATATATGAGGAGAAGAATAATTGAATGGTGGTGCTTGATTTGAATTGTTCGTAGTAACCTTGATTTAAGAAAACAGAAAAATAAAAGGGTAAAACACATCAAAAAAATGTGATCACAAGGTACACTGTTACGCACGCACGTAAACATGTGAATTTGATATGCTTGAACTGTTAAGAGTTTACACCTTAGTCGGAATACGAGAGCGAGGATCGAGGATTCGGTGACACGACATGCTACTCAAATCCGATTGTCTCAACCCCCCGTTGAATAAACGAAGAAGACTTGATATGAAGTAGGACATGTATTCTACAAGCATCCAGAAAGTACGATGTCTGAGTCTAGAAGAGAATTAGGATCCCGGACTAAGGATCCGGGTACGGGTCATCAAACGTTACAGACAATGCGTATTTATACAGTTAGGTTGAATAGGAAACATCATCGAATTCTGTGACATTGACAGTTAAGGCGACCAATAAGAAACAACATTGAAGCACGTGACATTGATAGATAGGACGATCATAATATTGACCAATAGGAATTGACCAATAGAATTTGCACTTACAAAATGATTCTTCGTAGGATAGTTGGTGAATATCCTAACATATACTTACTTAAACACTTGTTGACCTTTAAGGAGTGTAGTAGGCCACTGAGCATGATTCTCAAACCAACTACGCCTTTTGATTTCCAGAAATTCTCAAGTGATGTATTCATTCTTTTAATGAATGCTTCTAATACCTAGTGCAATATGTTTCGTGGTTTGTCTCTTTTCCTGCCATACTGAGGATTATAAGTTAGGATTTGACTCATGATACAATCCGGTGATTTCCGTTAAGTGTGTTAAATCCATCTCCAAAGTTTTTTTCTAGTTTCCTCACTATTTGGAATGTGGTTTGCTCTTTGCCGCAGTAGATCGTTGCTGATGTTGTCTGGTTAACGGATCTAGATCTTACGTAGATAACTGTTAATTAACACATGTATCTTTTCAATGATGGCTTTTCTAGTTCGCCAATTTTCCGCTACATACAATAGAACGGTTTTAGCGTTCGTATTGAAAATCCTGACTTTTATGATGATTGACAGTCGTTTTGAGTTCCTGATGTTCTTCAGTTGTAGAAATGCTGCCCTTGCTTTGCTGATCCTGGCAGCGACACCAGTTGAGAAGACTGAGGCAGGCGAGGAAGATTGTATTACGTAAATTTACACTCTGAGTCAGTTAAAAACGAAAACATTACATTGAACACACTCTATTTGCACATCATCTTTGAGTCGTGACTTCCAACGCTCCATCCTTCTTCCATTCCTGCTGTTGTTGCTTCCTTTACTTCCTGTCGGTACTCCATCTACTTCTTGCTTTTGCTCCATTTGCTTTCCGTTTTCCTCTTCTGACCGTGACACTTCTTCTTCTTTCACGTCCCTTCTTATACTACTTATGTCGTTCGTATAAGTAGCACACACCACACCTTCGCATCTGCATCAGATCCACCTCGCTCACTAATGATGCAGCTCAGATAGGTAACAGTTGTTTTGTATGGGAGGATCTTGTATTTTCCCTTGTGTACGTTGAAGTCTACTGCTGTAGAGGCTGCTGGTCCTCTTCTCCCGTATATGCTACTGCGTGTCGAACAGAAGACTTAGGTCATGTGCAAAGTCCTAATCATCCAGCTTCATACGAGCCGTCCACTCTGTTCCATGACTCTCCTGAGACGCTGAGGTTTTCATAATTCAGTCAACCATCAAAAGAAAGACAAAAGAGTTGAGATAAAGTAATCTTGTCTGATAGTGGTCTTCACTTGGAATGAATAAGTGAGCTGTTTTCCATGCCCAATTTCCCATTATAGTCAGTCATGAGAATTCCGTACGATGCTAACTATCTTTACAAGTACACTACAGTGTCGGATAAGAATCCGTAATTTTACCCTGTCCACACTGAAAAATAGTTTCTCTATAGTCCGGGAAGTTGATGTAGAGTTATAAGTTCCATTCAATTGATTGTTCCACAATGATCCTTTAGTATCACGACTTGGTCAATACATGCTTTAATAATAATTAAAGATTGTGAAATCCTAGAAATCCCAGGTAAACATTAGCATTATTTAACAGTTAAGTTGTTCAACTAAAAGTCACTAGGTCTCAAGTTCAAAACTTGTTCAAACTAATTAATTTTGAAGAATTAAGCAGTATCACTAGTCTATACACTTAGTATGTCTTATACCCAATTTCTAAGAGGAAAGAATGTAAATAATTATAAATGAGTATTTATGATTTTGTTTCATTCTTGTCTCCTCACTCACGTAATCACTAAGCGAGTTGACAAGTATTGCGTTTCCGATTTCAGATACTCGTACATCAAAACAATGTAAAACGTATACTCAATGTCATAAGCTCAATCAAAACATAACAATCAAATCACTACATGTAGATAAAGCCATGAAAATGACAAGTTCACTATCGTCGATTTAACAAATGTTTGTATCAACCAATAAGAATATGGTTTAAGACTAACCAATTAAGCAATTTTTTAAAATGAATTCTAACTACTCATAAGTAATACATATACAATATACAAATTTTCAGAATCTTCTTCATTGATGAAAGTTGATTATCATCTTTCTAACTTGATCATAGTACTGAAACATTCTTTCTAATATCACTTAAAGATGATGTAAGAAGTTGTCATCATCAGTTATTTCCATCATGAAAAACAGCTTGATTATCAAGAATTATTAAAGTTATCATTCAAAAGATTTAGGTGTCTACGCAGGACCCAGATTGAGATCGTTAGCCCAGACAGCATCAGCAACAACGTACTATGGGAGCGGATAAACAACACTGCTAATGAAGAGGTGTATTGGACTAACACATTATGGAAATCACTGAACTGCATCACGAAGCAAGCTCTTGTAGTGCCTCCACATATATTCCAGTTCGCTTACATCCAACTTGGTTAGGCCCTTTCGATTAATTTATTTAACCAAGCCATTTGTATTGCAACAACTTATATGTACCATTCGTTCTTATTATTGTCTGGTTTGTGTGATGAGCTCACATGACGTGTCCCACTTGTCATTTGACCTTGTCAACTATTCGTCACTTTTATTCATGTGTGCCTATTTCGTTTGTCGCATGTCTGTTTTATATTTGTCTGACTATATATTCTTAGTCATGCTCTATCTCTTTGGAGTTGACTCATTAACCTTCTCCACATTGCTCCATCCGTTCATTCACCTATTCACTCGCTTGCCTGCTTTCCGGCGCTCGCATGACGATTTTATCTCATAGCACTTGTTCATACGATTCGCTTCAGGCGCTTTTTCGCTCGCCAGTTTACACACTACAAATGGTGATCCCGCCCCGTTGAGATGGGCCACCCACTCTAACTTCCTATCCTTAAGGTTAAGGGACAAGAAGCAGACCAAGAAACACATTGCACCGGGAGTAAGAAGTATACGTCGAAGGAAGCAAGGGGGGGGAAACAAGAACCTTGGATGTAGTTGGTTTGAGAATCGTAGTCAGTGGTGTGACTAAGCTTCACGAGAGTTAACAAGTATAAGTAAATCACATACTAATGTGGTGCGAGCTACTTATAAGTAGTATATGACGTGTGTGTCAACGTAATGTCTGGCAGCAGAAGAGGATGGGGGAAGATCAAGAAAAGAAGAGTTAGAAGAACACAATGGAATTTGTATGAAACACATGAACAGTGACAATGGATTGATGTTTTTTTTGCAACGGGAACAGTCCAGTTCGATAGGATGATGGATTGATATTTTGCAAATGAACGATTTACGATATGGTTTTCCTATTTTATTACTGAGTAACTCTGTAATTTTCGTTAAATACAATCCGGTTGCCCCCCCCCCCACCTGTATTCTCCTTCACTACACTAACACCTAATTTAAAGCATTTCTCAATATTTGTAAACATTGGACTATAGTTTTATCCTATTATATAACTTACCAGCAGTGTAACTCCCACCTATCATCCTATTCCACAAGAGATTAAACCTTGAACCATAGATCTCATACATGAATACCTAAACTGTAAATCATTAAGCTGGTTGAACTTTACATATGATGATATAATAAATAGAGTTGAATAAGAATAAATTTTCAACAACAAAAGTTATACTACTTACTAATTGATTTTGATCAAATGAAGACTCATGATGATGATAATCATGGTATGTTGGTGTTTGTTGATGTGAATCAATTGGTGGTGAATTATTTTCCTTATTGACAGTCATTATAGATTTTTGATTGTTGAATACTGGATGAATAGGTGTAAACTAAAAAATTCGATAATTTAAAAAAAAATAATCATGTCATTATTACAGTAAAACTCATTTTTCATCTCGTTTGAACTGCAGTCAGTGTGGGGCATAGGCAGATACGAAGAAGAGGCAACGATGGGTGTCCCGATCTTTACGAGTTCTTACTATTTCGTTCAGGAGTCCCATCAGTGCTGATGGCCTAGTGTGTGTGACGAAATCTCAGCTCGGATACAAAAGGCTCGATTGGCTTTTGTCAACCTGCGTCACTTATGACGTAGGCGAGATATCCGCTTGTTGATTCAAGGACGTGTGTATTGCGCAACAGTTCGCTCTATCCTAATATACGGATGCGAAACATGGCCACTAAGAGTAGAAGGACATTCGTAGGTTACTAGTCTTCGATCATAGGTGTCCTTCGAAGCATTGCTCGTATATCCTGGGACAACAGTATCAGCAATGCTATCGTTAGGAAATGAGTTCTAGGTAGGGATGGCAAATCAATACATGAAGTGGTGAAACTTCATCAGTTGAGGTGGCTGGGACATGTGTTACGTATGGCTAACCACCGACTGCCTCGACGACGTTAAGTTTTGTGGTGTAGGAATATGTTGGAAGAAAGTTAGGAGCGGCCAGACCAAAACATGGCAGAAATCCATGAAGTCACTAACGAGACAATCTTCCTAGTGAACTGGGTTTATTGTTGGCTAGATTGCTAGGCTTATCTGGTTGCGGTTTATGCCGTGCGACCGGAAGGTCACCATGATGGTTTAGAGACCTTGAGAACCGGACATCGCTTAAAATCATTTGCAATAAATTCTAACCTTCTGATATTTTTTGAGACTTACAGCTAGTCGTATACGAGGCAAAATGAGGTCTTTTCTGATCCCTTGTTGTAATGTTGTAAGAAGGCAATAGTTTTACAGTTGTCACTTATCTGGTAGAAATACCATTCTTCATATCCCATTACAGTTGGCAGTACGACACTGACCTCTTTGTTCTTACCACCCATTATTATTAACCGACCAGTCTAGTATAGCAGAATTAAAGTTAACGAATGTTTCAGCTAAAATAACTCGATTTAGTTATCGTGGTATGTAAATCCAATCATCATATCAAATATAAGTAGTCAGTCAGATGCGTAAGTACATCAGTTCATGTTGCCATACCACATCAGCACAGAGATCTAATTGTAAATTCAAATCCAATAATAGAAGAGGTAGTAAAGGTATTAGAAGTAATCCTAGAGGTTAGGATGAGAAGATATTATTATTCAAGAAGTATGATTCAGTGAGAGTACAAGACAACGGTGAGCACGTGGAATCTCTCTCTTTTCTTCCTCCTCCCCGAAGCCGTTGCGAGCCGTACTTTTTGTACCGCTCGCAACGGCTTCGGGGTGGTCGAAGAAAAGAGAGAGATTCCACGTGCTCACCGTTGTCTTGTACTCTCAGCTGAATCATACTTCTTGAATAATAATATCTTCTAATCCTAACCTCTAGGATTACTTCTAATACCTTTACTACCTCTTCTATTATTGGATTTGAATTTACAATTAGATCTCTGTGCTGATGTGGTATGGCAACATGAACTGATGTACTTACGCATCTGACTGACTACTTATATTTGATATGATGATTGGATTTACATACCACGATAACTAAATCGAGTTATTTTAGCTGAAACATTCGTTAACTTTAATTCTGCTATACTAGACTGGTCGGTTAATAATAATGGGTGGTAAGAACAAAGAGGTCAGTGTCGTACTGCCAACTGTAATGGGATATGAAGAATGGTATTTCTACCAGATAAGTGACAACTGTAAAACTATTGCCTTCTTACAACATTACAACAAGGGATCAGAAAAGACCTCATTTTGCCTCGTATACGACTAGCTGTAAGTCTCAAAAAATATCAGAAGGTTAGAATTTAAAAGCACACGAAGAAAGGATACACCTGCGCTATTGCAAATGATTTTAAGCGATGTCGTTCAAGGTCTCTAACCATTGGTGACTTTCGTCGCACGGAACCCAACCAGATAGCCTACATCTACCAACATAACCCAGTTCACTTGTCTGTTAGTGACTTCATGGATTTCTGCCATGTTTTGGTCTGGCCTCACCTAGCTTTCTTCCAACCTACTCCTATACTGCAAAACATAGTTCGTCGAGGCAGTCGGTGGTTCGGCATACGTAACACATGTCCCAGCCACCTCAACTGATGAAGTTTCACCACTTCATGTATTGATTTGCCATCCCTACCTAGAACTCATTTCCTAACGATAGCATTGCTGATACTGTTGTCCCAGGATATACGAGCAATGCTTCGAAGACACCTATGATCGAAGACTAGTAACCTACGAATGTCCTCTACTCTTAGTGGCCATGTTTCGCATCCGTATATTAGGATAGAGCGAACTGTTGCGCAATACACACGTCCTTGAATCAACAAGCGGATATCTCGCCTACGTCATAAGTGACGCAGGTTGACAAAAGCCAATCGAGCCTTTTGTATCCGAGCTGAGATTTCGTCACACACACTAGGCCATCAGCACTGATGGGACTCCTGAACGAAATAGTAAGAACTCGTAAAGATCGGGACACCCATCGTTGCCTCTTCTTCGTATCTGCCTATGCCCCACACTGACTGCAGTTCAAACGAGATGAAAAATGAGTTTTACTGTAATAATGACATGATTATTTTTTTTTAAATTATCGAATTTTTTAGTTTACACCTATTCATCCAGTATTCAACAATCAAAAATCTATAATGACTGTCAATAAGGAAAATAATTCACCACCAATTGATTCACATCAACAAACACCAACATACCATGATTATCATCATCATGAGTCTTCATTTGATCAAAATCAATTAGTAAGTAGTATAACTTTTGTTGTTGAAAATTTATTCTTATTCAACTCTATTTATTATATCATCATATGTAAAGTTCAACCAGCTTAATGATTTACAGTTTAGGTATTCATGTATGAGATCTATGGTTCAAGGTTTAATCTCTTGTGGAATAGGATGATAGGTGGGAGTTACACTGCTGGTAAGTTATATAATAGGATAAAACTATAGTCCAATGTTTACAAATATTGAGAAATGCTTTAAATTAGGTGTTAGTGTAGTGAAGGAGAATACAGGTGGGGGGGGGGGCAACCGGATTGTATTTAACGAAAATTACAGAGTTACTCAGTAATAAAATAGGAAAACCATATCGTAAATCGTTCATTTGCAAAATATCAATCCATCATCCTATCGAACTGGACTGTTCCCGTTGCAAAAAAAACATCAATCCATTGTCACTGTTCATGTGTTTCATACAAATTCCATTGTGTTCTTCTAACTCTTCTTTTCTTGATCTTCCCCCATCCTCTTCTGCTGCCAGACATTACGTTGACACACACGTCATATACTACTTATAAGTAGCTCGCACCACATTAGTATGTGATTTACTTGTAACTTGTTTAACTCTCTCGTGAAGCTTAGTCACACCACTCGACTACGATCTCAAAACCAACTAATCCAAGGTTCTTGTTTCCCCCCCCTTGCTTCCTTCGACGTATACTTCTTACTCCCGGTGCAATGTGTTTCTTGGTCTGCTTCTTGTCCCTTAACCTTAAGGATAGGAAGTGTAGAGTGGGTGGCCCATCTCAACGGGGCGCGGATCACCATTTGTAGTGTGTAAACTGGCGAGCGAAAAAAGCGCCTGGAAGCGAATCGTATGAACAAGTGTCTACATGAGATAAAATCCGTCATGCGAAGCGGCCGGAAAGGCAGGCAATGCGGAGTGAAATAGGTGAATGAACGGATGGAGCAATGTGGAGAAGGTTTAATGAGTCAACCCAAAGAGATAGAGCATGACTAATGAATATATACTCAGACACAATATAAACAGACATGCGACAACCGAAATAGGGCCCAACACTGAATAAAAAGTGACGAATAGTTGACAAGGTCAAATGACAAGTGGGGACACGTCATGTGAGCTCATCACACAAACCAGACAATAATAAGAACAGGAATGGTAGACATATAAGTTGTTGCAATACACAATGGCTTGGTTAAATAAATTAATCGAAAGGGGTCCTAACCAAGTTGGATGTAAGCTGAACTGGAATATATGTGGAGGCACTACAAGAGCTTGCTTCGTGATGCAGTTCAGTGATTTCCATAATGTGTTAGTCCAATACACCTCTTCATTAGCAGTGTTGTTTATCCGCTCCCATAGTACGTTGTTGCTGATGCTGTCTGGGCTAACGATCTCAATCTGGGTCCTGCGTAGACACCTAAATCTTTTGAATGATAACTTTAATAATTCTTGATAATCAAGCTGTTTTTCATGATGGAAATAACTGATGATGACAACTTCTTACATCATCTTTAAGTGATATTAGAAAGAATGTTTCAGTACTATGATCAAGTTAGAAAGATGATAATCAACTTTCATCAATGAAGAAGATTCTGAAAATTTGTATATTGTATATGTATTACTTATGAGTAGTTAGAATTCATTTTAAAAAATTGCTTAATTGGTTAGTCTTAAACCATATTCTTATTGGTTGATACAAACATTTGTTAAATCGACGATAGTGAACTTGTCATTTTCATGGCTTTATCTACATGTAGTGATTTGATTGTTATGTTTTGATTGAGCTTATGACATTGAGTATACGTTTTACATTGTTTTGATGTACGAGTATCTGAAATCGGAAACGCAATACTTGTCAACTCGCTTAGTGATTACGTGAGTGAGGAGACAAGAATGAAACAAAATCATAAATACTCATTTATAATTATTTACATTCTTTCCTCTTAGAAATTGGGTATAAGACATACTAAGTGTATAGACTAGTGATACTGCTTAATTCTTCAAAATTAATTAGTTTGAACAAGTTTTGAACTTGAGACCTAGTGACTTTTAGTTGAACAACTTAACTGTTAAATCAATGCTAATGTTTACCTGGGATTTCTAGGATTTCACAATCTTTAATTATTATTAAAGCATGTATTGACCAAGTCGTGATACTAAAGGATCATTGTGGAACAATCAATTGAATGGAACTTATAACTCTACATCAACTTCCCGGACTATAGAGAAACTATTTTTCAGTGTGGACAGGGTAAAATTACGGATTCTTATCCGACACTGTAGTGTACTTGTAAAGATAGTTAGCATCGTACGGAATTCTCATGACTGACTATAATGGGAAATTGGGCATGGAAAACAGCTCACTTATTCATTCCAAGTGAAGACCACTATCAGACAAGATTACTTTATCTCAACTCTTTTGTCTTTCTTTTGATGGTTGACTGAATTATGAAAACCTCAGCGTCTCAGGAGAGTCATGGAACAGAGTGGACGGCTCGTATGAAGCTGGATGATTAGGACTTTGCACATGACCTAAGTCTTCTGTTCGACACGCAGTAGCATATACGGGAGAAGAGGACCAGCAGCCTCTACAGCAGTAGACTTCAACGTACACAAGGGAAAATACAAGATCCTCCCATACAAAACAACTGTTACCTATCTGAGCTGCATCATTAGTGAGCGAGGTGGATCTGATGCAGATGCGAAGGTGTGGTGTGTGCTACTTATACGAACGACATAAGTAGTATAAGAAGGGACGTGAAAGAAGAAGAAGTGTCACGGTCAGAAGAGGAAAACGGAAAGCAAATGGAGCAAAAGCAAGAAGTAGATGGAGTACCGACAGGAAGTAAAGGAAGCAACAACAGCAGGAATGGAAGAAGGATGGAGCGTTGGAAGTCACGACTCAAAGATGATGTGCAAATAGAGTGTGTTCAATGTAATGTTTTCGTTTTTAACTGACTCAGAGTGTAAATTTACGTAATACAATCTTCCTCGCCTGCCTCAGTCTTCTCAACTGGTGTCGCTGCCAGGATCAGCAAAGCAAGGGCAGCATTTCTACAACTGAAGAACATCAGGAACTCAAAACGACTGTCAATCATCATAAAAGTCAGGATTTTCAATACGAACGCTAAAACCGTTCTATTGTATGTAGCGGAAAATTGGCGAACTAGAAAAGCCATCATTGAAAAGATACATGTGTTAATTAACAGTTATCTACGTAAGATCTAGATCCGTTAACCAGACAACATCAGCAACGATCTACTGCGGCAAAGAGCAAACCACATTCCAAATAGTGAGGAAACTAGAAAAAAACTTTGGAGATGGATTTAACACACTTAACGGAAATCACCGGATTGTATCATGAGTCAAATCCTAACTTATAATCCTCAGTATGGCAGGAAAAGAGACAAACCACGAAACATATTGCACTAGGTATTAGAAGCATTCATTAAAAGAATGAATACATCACTTGAGAATTTCTGGAAATCAAAAGGCGTAGTTGGTTTGAGAATCATGCTCAGTGGCCTACTACACTCCTTAAAGGTCAACAAGTGTTTAAGTAAGTATATGTTAGGATATTCACCAACTATCCTACGAAGAATCATTTTGTAAGTGCAAATTCTATTGGTCAATTCCTATTGGTCAATATTATGATCGTCCTATCTATCAATGTCACGTGCTTCAATGTTGTTTCTTATTGGTCGCCTTAACTGTCAATGTCACAGAATTCGATGATGTTTCCTATTCAACCTAACTGTATAAATACGCATTGTCTGTAACGTTTGATGACCCGTACCCGGATCCTTAGTCCGGGATCCTAATTCTCTTCTAGACTCAGACATCGTACTTTCTGGATGCTTGTAGAATACATGTTCTACTTCATATCAAGTCTTCTTCTTTCACTCAATGGGGGTTGAGACACTCTGATTAGAGTAGCATGTCGTGTCACCGAATCCTCGATCCTCGCTCTCATATTCCGACTAAGATAAAGTCTTAAGAGTTTAAGCCTATCAAATTGACATGTTTACGTGCGTGCGTAACAGTGTACCTTGTGATCACATTTTTTTGATGTGTTTTACCCTTTTATTTTTCTGTTTTCTTAAATCAAGGTTACTACGAACAATTCAAATCAAGCACCACCATTCAATTATTCTTCTCCTCATATATCCAATCATTGTCATCTGTCTAATTCATTTAAAAATCAACCAATCAAATTTGATCAAAATTCAATTCAATCATCATTTTCAATATGTCAAAAACTATTAGAAGCTGGTAAAAAATCTGGTCAATTTACAAAACGTTTAACAAGATATTATCGTTATGAAAATATGATATTAAATCGTTCATATATGGTATGGTAGGGCAAATTATTCGAGTGTGAATAATGTTTGTTTTGTATTTTTCTGTAAAATAACTTATCTACTTTGATTGGCTTAATATTGATTGAACTATTGTACAAAATAGTTGAATAATTTATTGTCAAAATTAAGAACATGTCATGAAGAAGATATATGAAGTGTATTCTAACAAGTCAGTCAGTCAGTCAGTCAGTAGAACTTCGTACGTACGTAAGTACATCAGTTCATGTTGCCATACCTTACAGCACACAGAGATGTAATTGTCAATTCAAATCCCATAGTAGTAGAGGTAGTAAAGGTATTATAAGTAATCGGAGAGGTTAGGATTAGAAGATATTATTCAAGAAGTATGATTTAATGAGAAAAGTGTACAAAGTCAAAACTAGAGGTGTTGAAGAATCTAGAAGATTAGGATTTGAGAGAACATAAAGAATGAATGCACCTGCGCCATTGTAAACGATTTTGAGCCACATCATTCAGGGTATCTAACCATCGATTATTATCATCTCGCCGACCCCAACCAGGTAGTCGACAATTACCGACATGGCTAAGTCCACTCATCAATGATTTCATGGATTTCTGCCATGTTTTGGTTTGGCCGCCCCTAACTTTCTTCCAACCTATTCCTACACTACAAAACAAAGCTCGACGAGGCATTCGGTGTTTGGGCATATGCAACACATGTCCCAACCACCTCAACTGATGAAGTGTCACTACTGCGTCTATTGATCTGCCATTCTTACTTAGCACCCGATTCCAAATAACAGCATTGCTCACTCGGGTTTCCCACGATATACGAGCAATGCTTCGAAGACACCTATGATCGAAAACCAGTAACCTACGAATATCTTCTACTCTAACTAGCCATGTTTCACAGCCATAAAGTAAGACGGAGCGAACAACATAGAACATCGTACCTACGTACATCAGTTCAACTTGTCATACCACATTAGCAAAGACAGATCGATTTGTCTATTCAAAACCCATAGTTGTAGACGTAGTGGAAGTATCAGAGGTGATAGAAAAGATTAAGGTTTCTGTCGGGGACGTTAGGTCCCCAGAACTCACTTGATAAATGTCCTATTTTTAGATTTTCGTGTTTTCGCGCATGGACTGCTCAGTTGACCTTGAGATCACATCTCCCACTAAGAAAATCCTTGATTGTCATTGGTTAATAGATTATTTCAGTACGCTGTCTTTGTTGCTCTCCGAAGGGCGTTTCTATGATGCATAGATAAACTCGATTTGTGTGCTTGTCAACCTCATATTTTCTGAGTGCTGGTAGGATACACTTTTTACGCCTTATTAAGACCTCTTACTATAGTTAACAGGGCTGAGGACAATCGAATCAGAATAGCCTATCGTATCACTGCATCGTTGCTCTTCGACCCGTTTACCGAGTAATAGTTTCAAGCATATCATGTTCGAAGATATGATTCAAGAAGTATAAACCAGGGAAAGAAATTTAATTGGAGAAAAGAGGTCACGAGGAATTCAGAAGATTTGTAATTTGAGAGATGATAACGAATGGATGCATCTACGCCATTGCAAACGATTTTGAACCATGTCATTCAAAGTGTCTAACCATCGATTACTATCGTCTCGCGGATCCCAACCATCTAACAAGTTGGCGGAAAAAATTCGTAGCTTATGTGGATGATTATGGTGGAGTTGCTGTTACGGGTATGTGTGGGTGTAGGAAGGATTTGATTTTGACCAATTTGGTCTCTCGTGCTGTTACGGGTATGAGGGCGGTTGTCACTTCCGGGCTGCCTACACCGTGGAAGGCTGTTTCTTGAGGAACCTGAAAAGGAAGATTGATTAGTGTTGGTCTTGGAGACCTGGTTGCGTGACCGCAGATTCCAAGAGACAACTGTTTGAGGCCGGTCACGCACGGCCTTTTTATAAAACGTTTTTTGAGGATTAGCTCCGCTCTTAAAGGCCCTTAGTGGACACCCTTACCGCCGGAGACGGAAATCCGTGAGGTAGGGTGAGGTGTAACATTTTTAGGGTCGACAGTTTCTAACCCTTCCTTCCTTGTGAGAAGGCAGCATTGCTGCAGATGCTGGTTGTCCGAGGGAAACACCTTACTGCTGTCACACCCCTCCATCACAGTCAGCAGTACGACTTCGCCCTCAAACCTTGATTAGCTGCTTTTAGTCTCATCGTTCTCCAATCGACCTGTCTGGCATGGTAGAACCTTGAGGAACATATGTTCCAGCCAGTATAGCTCGGTTGGGTCATCACGATAGGCAAGCCCGACCACCACGTCATGTGGACGATTATGGTGGAGTTGAATGTGTAATAATAATAATGTTAGTCTATTTATGAGTTAATACATATGAATATCCTTGAGTTTTCCTTTAGCTCTATCCATTAGTGCTGATTGGTTAATAATCCACCAATCAGGTTGTTTCAACATAATCCTGCATAAAATATATACTGTAACTTCATCTCTTGGTCATTTTATGTTTAGACTGAAGGTACTTTATATGTTGACAGTAGTGTGAGAAGCAGTATATGAGATTATGTGAGAAAGAGGAAAGAACATGCGAAAAAATGTGAGCCAACAACTCAGTAAGCACATAGAATGTACTTAACTTTTAATAACAAAATGCAATCGACAATAATCAGAAACAACATGAGCATGAGATTGTAGGACAAATGGATAATCAGAACTAGAGGTGTTGGTAGCTTAAGGTTTTACTGTCAGGGATTGATTAAAATTAAGCATTAACACCATTGGATGTCGTATCGATGATCTAGAGGTTAAGCTTTTGTGCCCAAGATTGAAGGTCCAGGGTTCGATTACCGTGAGCGGTATTCGTAGATACACACTGATGTTAAGTCTCAGACTTGGATAAAACGGCCGACCAGTGCTACTAATAGGACTACTTTCAACATTTCATTAGCGAGTTGATTTTACTGACCGTAGTTGCTACTTTGACGTGGTGGTCGGGATTGCCTATAGCGATAATCAGACCGAGCTTCAGGATTAGCTTGCGTCGGCACCTGAACTAGTGATAGGGAGTGAAGCAATTCATCGTGTTGACTGCTGCACTTATCTGGGGAGTCTCATCAGTTCTGATTGTCTGGTGACTAACGAAAGCTCAGCATGGATACGGAAGGGTCAGTTGGCTTTTGCCAACTTGCGTCATTTATGGCGTAGGAAAGATATCCGTCTGCTAATCAAAGGACGAGTCTACTGCGCAGCATTTCGCTCCGTCCTACTAGATGGATGGACGGTAAGAAGTGAGGATATTCGTAGGTTATTAGTATTCGAAGATAGAGGTCTTCAGAGCATTGCTGGTGTATCGTGAGACAACCGAGTAAGCAATGCTATAGTTAGGAACAGAGTACTAGGTAAGGATGGCAAATCAATAGAGGAAGTATTAAAACTTCATCAACTGAGGTGGTTGGGACATGTGTTACGAATGCCTAACCACCGACTGCCTCGATGAGTTATGTTTTGTGGTGTAGGAGTAGGTTGGAAGAAAGCTAGGGGCGGCCAGACCAAAACATGGCAGAAATCAATGAAGTCACTGACAAGTGGACTGAGTGATGTTTGGTAGATGTAGGCTAGCTGGCTCGGGTCCGCGAGATGATAGTAATCAATGGTTAGAGATCTTGAACGACATGTCTGAAAATCGTTTGCAGTGGCGCTGGTGCATTTATTCTTTGTGTTCTCTCTCAAATTCTAATCTTCTGAACTCCTCATCACTTGTATTGTTCTCTTTCTCAACTTTTATACTTCGTGAATAATTTCTTTGAATGCTAATCTTCATAACCACTAATACTTCTACTATCTTTACAATTATGGGATTTGAAGTGACACTTGCCTATCTGGGTTAATGTAGTATGGCAAGTTGAACTTTTGTACGTACGTACGTAGTTCTACGTTGTAACTGACTGACTGATTTTCTTTGGGATTAGTTCACGAACCTTACGCTGAACCTCTCCTCCTTTTTCCGGGGTCGTGACCGACAGTAATCGGAAAGGGGTCACAGGCGGAGTTACTACTGCTACTACTACTGTAGTGAAGGAGAACACAGGTGGGGCAAGCGAGTTGTATTTAACGAAAATTACAGAGTTACTCAGTAAAATAGGAAAACCATATCGTAAATCGTTAATTTGCAAAATATCAGTTCATCATATCGAACTGGACTGTTCCTGTTGCAAAACATCAATCCGTTGTCACTATTCATGCGTTTCATACAAATTCCATTGTGTTCCCCCCACTCTTCCTTTCTTGATCTTCCCCCATCTTCTGCTGCCAGACATTACGTTGACATTCACGTCATATACTACTTATAAGTAGCTCGCACCACACTACTACTACTAATAATAATAATGCTTGTCTAGTGTAAGTAATGCTTTTATTATCGATCGATTCTCGTTTCGGTTTTTTTCTATTTTTACTTTTTATTGATTTAGACATTATATGAAGCTGGTGATATAAAAGGAACATTATTTAAAATTTGTGAACAAACTGATTATAAAACATTTGCACAATTATTTAATCCAGCGTAAGTTTCTTGTTAATTTTCACATCATCTCATCTCATCTGAACAATTTTATATCTGTTTATTACAAAAAGTGTTTGTTTGTTTATAAATGGGCTTGGGATATTGCTGGTGTCGCTGCCTGCTTGAAGGAAGGAGCCCCCCGTGGCCGAAAGAGTTGGAGAACGGAGATTTGCGGAACTTCCTGGAGGAGTCTGGGGCCGCAGTGGTGCTGGTGGGTCTGAAGGGGCCCGGGGCGGGGTTGGAGGTGCTGGGGACGCTGCGGGGAGGTGAGGCGAAGGCGGTATATGACAGCCTGCACGGTGCCGCCGGGGAGACTGCGTGGCAGACGGTCACCGGGTGACTGATGACGGAGTTCTACAGCCCTGTGGACAGGGAGGAGGCGCCACAGGGGTCCAGGTTGGCGAGGCTGTCGGATGATGGTGACCCGTTTGTGCTGGCTGTGGAGCCCACGATGTTGCTGCGCCGTACGCTGCCGAGTATGGATGGGGAGTCGGGGCACAGTTGTTGGCGTCGCAATTTATCGAGAGTGTGCCTGCCGCCGTGTCCCAGCAACGGGAACTAGAAACGCTACACGTTGGATAGATGCCGTATCCATTTCAGATCAGCGGGCGAGAACAGTCACCGAAGTGGTAATCCGGCATATTGTAGCGTGTCACGGAATACGGAAGGTGATATTAACTGACCAGGGTCCCTGTTTTGAATGACTTCATTAACAGCTTATTAAAAGGGGGGACGAGTGTGGTGTGAGCTACTTATAAGTAGTATATGACGTGAGCGTCAACGTAATGTCTGGCAGCAGAAGATGGGGGAAGATCAAGAAACGAAGAGTTAGAACACAATGGTATATTGTCCAGCTACCCAAATCTAAGTATGTGGTTTTCTGAGAGAGCCATTCCCCTAACCTTCTACGTACAAATCTAATCTACAAAGCAGTATAGAACAACGCGAGTAAAATACACTGTCATAGAAAACCGGTTGTTATGTCTTGACTATAACCAATACGTCGAAATGACATTTTAGTTAATCAATATCCAACAAGGATGATAGAACTGCTGTAGTGTGTGCTACTTATACGAACGATATAAGTAGTATAAGAAGGGACGTGAAAGAAGAGGTCTCACGGTCACAAGAGGAAAACGGAAAGCAAATGGAGCAAAAGCAAGAAGTAAATGGAGTAGTACCAACAGGAAGGAAAGGAACCAACAACAGCAGGAATGGAAGATGAAGGATGGAGTGTTGGAAGTCACGACTCAAAGACGGTGTGCAAATAGAGTAGTATTCAATGTAATGTGTTCGTTTTTAATTGCCTAAGAGTGTAAATTTGCATAATACAATCTTCCTCGCCTGCCTCAGTCTTCTCACTGCTACTGTATGCTTAAAGATCGGCTCTATATTAATTACTCCGAACTCAGAGAAAGAATACGAAGCTAATAATCATCAGTCTAAGATTGTTAATATATTGTAGACATCTGTTTATGTGTACATACCAACCCGGACCATACAGCACACAAATTATTCATTTACTATTAACAATAATGAGAAGTCGGCTTGAGTCCGCGAGACGAAAGTCACCAATAGTTAGAGACCTTGAATGATATGGCTCAAAATCGTTTGCAATGGCTCAGGTGCATCCTCTTTTTTTTCTGTTCTCTCAAATCATAATCTTCTGGATTTGTCAACACCTTTACCTTTGTCTTTCTAAACTTATCTCACTGAATTATACTTCTTGAATATCATCTTCAAATCCTAATCTTCTCCATTAACAGTAATTCTTCTACTATCTCTACCACTATGGGATTTGAATTGACAACTGCGTCTCTGTGCTAATGTGGTATGGCAACATGAACTGATGTACTTACGTACGAAGTTCTACGTTGTAACTGTTACGCCTGCACGTAAACACGTCAAATGATATACTTGAACTATTCCGGGTTTACCTTAGTCAATAAACGAGAGCGAGGATCTGGTGACACGACATGCTACTCAAATCCGAATATCCCAACACCCATATTTAGTAAAAAATAAGAAGACTTGATATAAAGTAGAACCTGTATTATACGAGCATCAAGAAGTACGAGGTCCGAATCCAGAAGAGAATCAGGATCTCGGACTAGGGATCCGGGACCAGGTTCTGGTTGTGGTCGTTAAACGTTACACATAATGCATATTAATACATTTTGGTCGAATAGGAAAAAGCATCAAAGTCTGTGACATTGACAGTTAAGACGACCAATAGGAAGCAACATTTGACGTGACATTGATAGTCAGGACAACCAATAAGAAACAACATTGGAACACGTGACATTGATATCTACTAGGACGACCATAAAATTGACCAGTAGGATTAACCAATAGGAATAGATCAATAATTCTCTTAGGATATTAGATGAATATCCCAACAGTAACTGATTGACTGACTGACTGACAGTAATGATCATGGGAAAAATTCGGACTAATGAGTACTCAACCTCCTCGCATTTGGGCCTGACCCACCCCCCCTCCCCCTCCCTTCGCTTCCCCCCTGTTCCCCTTCCCCTGGACATTTCTACATCACCCGTGCCCTTCCGATAATCGTTTCTCCACTTACGTCCCCCCCCCACACTCCTCGTACCCG